GCCTGCACGGGTTGGGGGAGGAGGGGGAGGTGGATTTTTTTTTGCCCTTGGGGGACTTGGAATGTGAGAAAGGGTTGTGAAAGGTTGTTTTAGGAAAGCTTTTTATTTATTTTTTTTTTTTAGCACAGAAATAGGTTGTTGTTTTTGAATATGTATAGGGGGGCATTGTGACCCGCATTTGGGGGGGGGGTTCCTTTTTTTTTTTGGGTTTAATTTGGGGTTATTTTTCGTGGGCCCTTTCACTTTCACGGGAGGAGTTTTGGCGTGTGTACAGCGAGCAGCATATGAGTGTTTGTGGTTCAGACCCAGGCACCAACCCTTGGATTTCGAGCTTTAAACGCCGATGAAATTGGGGGGGGGGGGGGGGTAGACGAAAATTATTGTTTTTCTTGCGGGCGAGTTTGTTGGCGTGCACGCTTCCCTTCGTGCTTGCTCTTCTTTGTCCATGCTCTTGTCCGTTGGTTGATGCATGCCGTACTTCTCCTTGTTCATTCGAGAGGGGCTGACAATCGCGCGATAAGCAACCACCGTAAACGAATGAGCTGGCACGATGACAACCCCGACCGTACATGACGGTGATGAATTTCTGCGTCAAGGTAGATCGCAGTAGAACAGAGCTCTCTCGTGAGTGGCTGTTGTTGTTGTCGTTGTTGTTGTTGATGTTGTCTTAACATCAATGAAAGGGGGTGGTGTGCGATCTTTTTTGTGTTTTACCTGGTACAGTACTTGTTTTTTTTTCTTTCGTGTACGTACGTAAATGATAGTACTTACTCCTCTTCCCATCGCGCCCCAACTCTCGTGTGACCGACAATTTGCGTTCCGTTCCAACCAAGACGCTGACGATGCCTTTTTGGAGCGGCCTTGGTCGTTCGGCTACGAAGACAAGTGGGATGCTTTCATGAGAAGGTATGTACGACCCGAGGGAGTTGATAAAACTTATCTGCTTGTTTGGCGGAAACGAGTACGTGTGGCTTTTTTTGTCAAGAAGTTGGTGCGAGGATGCAATTGTACGGTGGGACGAGGTCGGCAAGCCTTCGTCTGGCGGCGGTCAAGCAGGAGGGCGGGAGTTGAGAATCTGATCTGCTTGTTTGGTGGAAATGAGTACGTGTGGCTTTTGTCAAGAGAGGGTTGGCGCGTGGATACAATCATGCGGTGGGAAGAGGTCGACAAGCTTCCGTCTGGTGGTGGTCACGCTGAAGGACGGGGAGATAGGACGGGGTTGGGGGCAGAGGCGGAGGAACAATGACGGTAGATTGACGGCAGTCACTCCAGAGGGGAGGAAGTACAAGGTTGAGCTTTGCTTGCTTCTGTCTCTGGTTCAGGCGTCGTGATCGTATCGTTTTCGGTCGCTGTGGTACGCACAGTCGGCTGGATTTAGCAACAGGGGCGGAGGTAGCGTGCCAGGTGATCCGTCTGAAATCGCCGGGACGGTATCTACTGTTTCTGTTGTCGTTTTCGGTGTCCTGCCGTCGTCGCCAGCCATTGCCGTTTCGTGGCAGTTGCAGTTGGCATCACTGCATCGCCTGCACACTAGGAAAGAAAGAAGAAAAAACAAATGCCTCAAGGTACAGCAGTACTAAATACCTTTTCGTGCTGCATCTTGCCCGCAACCACCATATTTGTACTTTTGGCGGCACTGCATGCAGCCTTGTGACTTGACCATTACCCCACCTGCTACAAACTTCCGTGTTTTTTTTTTGTCCCGCCGCTTGCTGGCACAGGGCTTCCCACGAGTTTGCCGCTAAGGTCCCGTACATGGTCGTGCCCGGAAACCACGAGGCTGAGTGCCACAGCCCCGCGTGCCTCTCCTCTCCGCGGAGACTCAACGTGAGTTGTATGCCCGTCACCTTGCGCGCGCCTGCACACACGTGCACGCTCGCCTGCCGAAGAACATGTTGTTCGTGCGACCGTGTGGTGTACGGTTTTCGATCATCAGCTTGGTGTTGGTGTCCGAATGCCATGCTTTTTTTTCGGGTAATGTAGGGATTCGCGTGTCTCGTGGCCCCAGCCGTTCTCGACTGGTGCG